TTAAAGTTTATATTAATTATTAAAATATATTTTACTTTATAATTATATAATAATTTTTTATATAATAGATTTATTACTTTAAATTTTTAATAAACTTTAATTATAAAATTATTTATTATAAAAAAATAAAAAATAATAAAGCTAATGCTTTAAGTTAAAAAGAAAAATACTTTAAAAAAATTTATAAATTTAAAATATAAATTTTATATAAAAATAATTAAAAAAATTATAAATAAATTAAATTAATACTTTATTTATTATAAAAAAATATAATTTTATTTTTAATAAAATTAAAAATTAAATTAAAAATTAATAATTAAAATAGTTTTTTTAAAAAAGTAACTATAATTAATAAACTTTTAAAATAAAATAAATAAATTTAAATATTAAAAAAATTATAAATAAAAGTAATTTAAAATATTTATTATAGTATAATTATAATAATATATTAAAGTATATAAACTATTTATAATTATATATTATATTATTATTATTTTAAAAAACTTAAATAAAAAATTAAAAAAGTTATTAAAAAATATAATATATATAAAAAAATAAAAAATAAATAATATTAATTATATAAAAAATTATAATCTATTTTAGTTTTTAAATAAAATTAATATACTATTATATTTAATTATATTATTAATTTATTAAAATTAAAAAAAACTATTAATAAATATAGTTTATAATAATATTTTTATAATAATAAATAAGCTTTTTAAATAAGTTTATTTTTTACTATATAAAAATATAATAAACTATATACTAAATAGTTAATATAGGGTAGATTTTTAAAAAATAAACCTAGAATAAGTTCTTTAGGTTTATATTAGTAAATAGGTTAAAAAACCTATAGGCAATAATATTATAATAATAGTTATTAATAAAGATTAAAAGTGCTTTTTAATTTATAAATATAAAACTATATTAATAACTAGCTATTTAAGTTATTTAAAGAAGTATAAAAAGTAAATTTATATATTTAGTTAACTAAATGTTTTTAATATATTTAATAATTATATTTATTAAATTATATTTAATATACTTAATAATATATTTTATTAAATAATATATAATTAATTACTAGATTATAGTTAATTTAGTTATACTTACCCAGTAGGCTTATTATTATAACCTTAAGTATTAAGTTATAATATAATACTCCCCTTCTATTAGTTTTATCTCTAAAACTTTATTTTTAAACCTATACCTTTTTTATTATTTAAAAATATTAATTTTTATTTTTTTTATTTTTTTAATTTAGCTAATAAAATAACTAGTAGTAAATATAAGTATTTTAAGTTTTTTTAAGTTTTATAATATAATATACTTAAATATTTTATTTTACTTATATTATTAATTATAAAGCTTTATTTTTATTATAAAAAGTATAATTATAAATATTTTATTTTTAAAAAAGATTTTTTATATTATTTATAGTATATTTATTATTAATAATTAAATTATAAAGCTTTTAGTTTTTTTATAACCTAGTTTTAAAAAATAATAACTAAAGGTATTAATTTTAACTTTAAGTTAAAGAAAGCAGAGAAGGCTTAGTTAAAGGCTAGTGTATATATAAAGTATTTTTATATTTAAAAAAAAAATAGTTTAAAAAAATAAAAAAAGCTATTAAATAGAAGATTAATAATTTAAAAAAGTTAAAGCAGGTTAAGTATAAAGAATATAAAGCAAAGGCTGCTTATTTAGCTGCTTTAGCATTTAGTTTTTTTATTAGCCTGTTTTAGTCTATTAGCAATATTAATTAATTTACTTTTAATCTAGACCTATTATTATTTTTACTTCTAGCAACTAGTAAAATTCTTATAAAATTATTTAAGTTTTTTTTTTAAGTTTTTTTTTTAAGATTTAAAAGTCTTTATTAAAATTATATTTTTTTTATTTAATAAAATATTTTTATTTTTTTATTTTTTTATTTATTTATATATAAAGTAGTTTTTTAATTTTATATTTTTTTTTAATATCTTTAATAATAATTTTATTTATAATTAGCTTGCCTGTTTTTTTATTTATTAGTGCTTTTTCTAGTAATAAAATATAAAAAATAGTTATTTTTAATTTTATATTATTAGGTAAGTCTAGCTTATAGTTAACTTCTTTAATTTTCTTTAGAATTTTAAATAATTTAAGTTTTTTAAAATTTAATTTATTATTTAACTAGTTTATTTTAATATTTAATAATATTTTATTATATAAATACTATAGTA